TGAACTTCAAAGCATGCCCTGAGAGGATTCCCACAGATAGATGCCCAAAGAACAGAAGTCAATGATTAAACACACACACTTAAACACACACACACACACACACACACACACACACACACACACACGCATGCACCTCTGGGATGCAGCTGCCCTTGACTTAGGGTCAGCAGAAACCAAACTTATTCAAATTATAAAACATACAACATAAAAATAACTCTATTTAATCATTTAAAGAAATAACGGAGTTACTAATAGTATGACAAAGGAACAAAAGACAATCAGACCTGACCAAGATGTTTTGAAAGAGAAGAAGGTGTGTACCCAACATAACAGAATAAATCATGATTGATTCAAACAACCCCATCCCTCTGCCAGTGGTTGGACTGTGATCCAGTTCTATCCAGTCAGAGAGAAGAGGAAGGCTGCTTGGGGCTTCTAGGAAAGATTTTTTTTGTTCAATAAAGAGAAACAGAGGAAGGAAGAGGGCTACTGCATTTCTGCCATCCGCCTCCCCTCCCACTTCTTGCTTTGGATGTTACCAAGTGATAGATGGAGCAGCAACTATCATCTTGTGACCATGAGGCCAAATCCAAAAGAATCAAAGAGATGCCAATGAAACACTCTAACTTCGTACGCTGCCAGATCAACTCTGGGCCTGCCTAATGCTAGACCCCCAAGGAAAAGGGGTCCTTCCTTTTTCCTTCCTTAGGAAAGAACAAATTATATTTCCGGATCCAATAAGAAACTTTTGACTAGATGTATTCTGTTACGTAGGCTCTTTTCTAAATGACATACTGTGAAATTTATAAAATTAGAAAATAAAGGCCTTTTGCTGAGAAAAATGCAGAATATAACTACATGTCTCTTTGTGGCCAGCTCTGTTTGTGAAAAGAAAACAACAAAGACAAAGAAATCATAAGAAGGGAAGCTATCACCCTGGCCTTGACTATATTTGCTTATAAAAGGCCTATACTCAGCTAGGTGTGGTGGTCCATGCTTGTAATCTCCGCAATTCTAGCAGCTGACATGGAAGGATTGCAAGTTCGAGGCCAGCATCAGCAATTCAGCAATTCACTGAGGACCTAAGCAACTTAGCAAGACTTTGTCTCACATACACACACAGACACACACACACACACATAACACACACAAAAAAAAGGGCTGGGGATGTAGTTCAGTGGATGCTCCTGGGTTCAATCCCTAGTACCAAACACTTAATTTTTTTTTTTTTAAAGGCCTGATTCTGAGGACAGGGAAGCTGAATTTCTCACCTGATGACTGGAATAAAAGGATCATGCAGACTGTGGCATCAACTACTGTCCACACTAAGAGGCAGATTTCCTCTGCGTATCTCCTCCCATTTGACGTAAAGAGATACCCACTCTGGTTGTCAGACTTGCACCATCCACTGCTGCCTTTAAGCTTCTAAAATTAAACCTTTTACCTCTAGTCCGTACTAACCCCAGAACTCCTTTGTACAGTTTAGAGGGTGAAGAAAGAACATGTTGGCTTTGTAGAAAATGACATTGGTTATTGCTATAATGTGCCTCATGCTTGATTTGTAGGTGATGTTAACCTTGACCACACCTGCTCCACCCTTTTACCTTTTCTTTCTTGGTTCTTCCAGCTATATCTAATTTCTCAGTGGAAACCAAGCACTAAGACCCAGAGACCTCAATTCAGTTGTGGCTAGAAGTTGTAACAGAATAGAACCAGAGCAGAAATTTAACTAGAAACCTTGAAAGGCCAGGCTTGGTGGCGCAATCCTGTAATTCCAGTGGCTCAGGAGGCTGAAGAAGGAAGATGGAGAGTTCAAAGCCAGCCCCAGCAAAAGTGAGGCACTAAGCAACTAAATAAATACAACTCAACTAAATAAAATACAACATAAGACTGGGGATGTGGCTCAGTGGTTGAACGTCCCTGAGTTTAATCCTGGGTATCTAAATAACAAACAAGCAAACAAAAAACCTTGAAAGGCCAGGTGCCACCAATGCACACCTGTAATACCAGTAAAATGTTTGGTAAAATATTCCAGTGGCTAGGGAGGCTGAGGCAGGAGGATCACCGCCAGCCTAAGCAATTTCTCAAGGCCCTAAGCAACTCAGCAAGACCCTGTCTCTAAATAAAATATATTAAAAAAAAGGGGGGAGCAGGGGATGTGGCTCAGTGGTTAAGCACCCCAGAGTTCAATACCCAGTACAAAAAAAAAAAAAAAAAAACCCACTTGAAAGAATAAAACTGTCAGCATAGGTATTTTTGGACCTTGGGAAGACAAAACTCTGAGCTATCCAGTCCTCCTTTCTAGAAAGGCAAACAAAGCAAAATAAACATTCACACACCAGATATGATAATCTTAGCTTAAAATGCACTAATTCTGGGGCTGGGGTCGTAGCTCAGTGGCAGAGCACCTGCTTAGCATGTGTGAGGCACTGAGTTCTATCCTCAGCACCACATACAAAAAATAAGCAAATAAAACAAAGGCATGTTGTCCATCTACAACTACAAATACAATTTTTAATGCACTTATTCTGTTTTTATCATTATAAAGAATAACACTGATCTGCCAAGAAGAGAACTTTTTCACAATAGTTCCAAAGACTGCTGACTTATCTCACCTTGAGAATAAAAATATTTATTATAAGAAACTTCATTTGGTAAAATGTTCCTTGTAGCCAGGAACCATAATCCCAACAACTGAGGCAGGAGTATGAAAGTTCAAGGTCAGCCTCAGCAATTTAGGAAGACCCTGTCTCAAAATAAAAAATAAAAAGGGCTGGGATGTAGCTTATGGATAGAACTATGTCAATTCCCAGTATTGAGAAAGAAAAAAATTCCCTGTACAACAGAAAACATTGATAAAATTGAACATGCTTTTGTGATTTAACAAAAAGCTCTCAACTGGAACAGAAAAAACTTCCTCAGACTGACATCTAAAATATATATATATATATATATATATAAAATCAACCAATCAAACAGCCTCAGCAACTTAGTAAGGCCCTGAGTAATCAGTGAGCCCCTGTCTCCAAATAAAACATAAAAGAGGCTGTGGATGTGGCTCAGTGGTTAAGAGCCCTTGGGTTAAATTCCCGGTACCAAACAAACAAACAAACCTACAGTCATATTTAATGGTGAAAGACTCAATGCTTCCCCCTTAATATCAGGAACAAGGCAAGGGTGTTCACTTCGCCACTTCCATTTAACACTGCACTAGAGGTACTAGTCAGTCATCATGGCAGTGTGGGAAAAAGAAGAGTGGAAAGGAGGCCGGCATGAGATCCACACCTATAATCTAAGCTACTCAGGAGGCTGAGGCAGGAGGATTGCAAGTTCAAAGCTAGCCTGGGCAACTTAGTGAGATCTTGACTCAAAATAAAAAGGGCTGGGGATATAGCTCAGCACCCCTGGGTTCAATTCCCAGTGGAAGGAAGGAAGGAAGGAAGGAAGGAAGGAAGGAAGGAAGGAGAGAAAAGAAAAAGTCTTTGTTTTTAGGAAAAACTCACCGAAATATGCAGGAATTAAGGAGCATCATACAATTTATGATACTCACTTCAGGAAAAAATATGCACGTGTTAACTTTGGGGTCTCTAGTGCTGGGGATATAGTTCAGTTGGTAGGGTGCTTGCCCCAAGTACACAAGACCCTGGATTCAATCCCCAGCACCACAAAAAACAAATAAAAACAACTTTGGGGACTCTAAGTGAAGAGTATATGAAAATTCTTTGCACTACTTTTGCAACTTTCCTATAAGTCTGAAATCAATCAACAAAGTAACTGACAAGCTTTTTATACTTTATATGGAAATAAATGAAAAGATCTTAAATAGCCCAAAAGAATCTTGAAGCAGGCTAGCATTAGAAGTCCAACATAACTTGATTTCAGTATTTACTTTTTCTATTAAGACAGTGTGGTGTAATCCCAGCAGCTCAGGAGCTGAGGCAGGAGGATTGCGAGTTCAAAGCCAGCCTCAGCAAGTTGAAGATCTTATGATGAGGGAGATTGCCCAGGATTATCCAATGGGCCCAATGTCATCATGAAGGTTTCTCTTCTCTTTTCTTCTCAGAGATGAAGTCTTGCTATGTTGTCCAGGCTGATCTTGAACCCCTGGGCTCAAAGGATCCTCCCACCTCAGTCTCCCAGAAGCTGAAAATACATGTATCAGCATGCCCAGCTCATCACAAGGGTCTTTTTATAAGAAAGAGGCAAGAAAGCCGGAGTCAGGGCAGAAATGATGATGGAAGCAGGTGTTACAGTAATAGAAGTGTTAGTTTAGATGGAAGAGGCCAGCAGGTGGCCCCTAGAAGCTGGAAGAGACAAGAAGATGAATTCTCCCCTGGAGCCTCACAAAAGAACGCAGTCCTGTCGATACTTGATTTTCGCCCAGTGAGATGGATTCTAGCCTTCTGATGTCCACAATTGTAAGATAATAAATTTGTGTTATTTGAAGCCATTGAGTTTGCAGTGATTGTTACAATAGTGCCAGGAAACTCACACAGAGACCATTATTACTCTGGGCATACAATTATTTCCTATAGGACACAAAAGACACTAAGCATTTAAAATAATAAAAATAACCCTTGAGAGGCTGGACTTCCTCAGCTCTGCTCAGCAGAAGGCACTAATAATGTAGTTCAGTGGCAGAATGCCTGCCTAGCAAGTGCACGGTTCTGGATTCCCTGGAGCCATCGCCCCCACACACGTGCATTGTTAAGATATTGAAAAGGCAAATCACAGACAAAAAGACAAAATAAAGAACAAGCCAAAGACTTGAGTAGACGCTTCATAACAAAGTACATGAAATGTATATAAAGTTTTTACTTTTCAGGAAAGTGTAAATCAAAACCACTAAGCATCATTTGAATGCTTAAAAGTAAAAATAAAAATACTGCCAATGCCAATTAACAATAGGCAAAGATGCAGGGCAACTAGAACTTTCAAACACTTCTAAAGGGAACAGAAAATGGTGCAACCACTTTGGAAACCTGTCAATATCTAATAAGGTTAAAATATATTTACTCTTAAGACTCCACAACTCAACTTGTAGGTATTATACAAAATAAATGACAACTTATCTCCATACGGAGACTTCTACAGAATGTTCATAGAAGATTTATTCCTAAAAGTGAAAAACTGAGGGCTTTGGGGGTGTAGCTCAGTAGTAGAGCATTTGCCTACCACGCAGGAGGCCCTGGGTTCCATCCCCAGTACCACAAAAAGAAAACAAAATCAAAACTGGAAATAGCCCAGATGCCTACGAACACAAGAGCAGATAAACAAACCATGGAATATTCCTATAATAGAATGCTATCCAGCAACAAAATGGAACAAACCACTGGCATCTGCACAATGTGGAAGAATGCCAAAAAAGAGTATATAATGTAAAAGAACCAGTCACCAAAAAGATACACTCTGCAAGAGTCCACTGACATGAAATTAGTGGTCAGGAAAACCTATCTATAGTGACAGAAAATAACTCAGAGCTTGTCTTAAACTGGAGTCAGAAGAGTGGACTGCAGGGGACACAGGGAACTGTAAGGAATGCTGGAAATGCTTGGGGGACTTTTACACTGGGTATACATATATCAAAACTTTTTCCCCGCACGTGCAGGTCTATGCATTTCATTGTATACAAAATATACCTCAATTAAAAACTTTTTTTCCTATAACAAATGTATCTTGTAGAAAACTGGTTTGTTCACTCAGACTTTGTGAACAGTAGGTTTATTTCTACCCAACCCCAATTAACAAGCTGAATAACTAGCACCTTACAAATCCAGTTCTAATAACTCAACCAGCGAAAAAGGGACCGTGTAAGCCAGGTGCAGTGGCAGCACCTTAGTTCCAGCTACCCGAGAGGCTGAGAGGGATTGCTTGAGCCCAGGAGTTCAGGGACGGACTGGGCAATACAGCAAGACCACATCTTTAAAACATTAAAAAATAAGATATCTGTAATAGAGCTAAAGGCATTCCTTCTTGTAAACATTTGTTGCAAATGAAATGCCTAACAGAGGCGTCCCCAGTGACGCAGAATCTCAAATGCCAGGAAATCTGGGAGAACGCTGGGGACCTGACAAGAGAAGAGCAGCTTTGCTCTCAAGCAGCAACTAAACTCCAGAACCCAGCAAGAGTCTCTGTTTTTTATGCAGCATGACATAAGCAACTGGCTCTTCCCTGATGGCCCTTCACCACCCATGTCTGCTCTCTGTCTTCTCTGCACACCTGGCAACCCTCCAGAAAGCAGCTAAAGGACATGACTTCACCCTCGCAAGGAACGCCGGAGGCCCTACAGGGACAGGCAGAGGTCAGCATCTCCCAGGCCCGCTTACCTCATAGTCTTGCTCGCCGGCCCCTCCAGCCGAGCTGCCCACCAGCACCTCCACAAAGGCTGAGCCATCATTCCCGATGTCCACGCTGTGTATCTGCTCCTCCTTCTCCAACTGTGGGCAGGGAGAAAGGCCACCATTAATGTCTGCTGTATCTTTGGGTCTGCTGTGGGACCAGAGACTGAAAAAGAGATCACCCCCATTTGGGCTGCCATGTCCCCTGCAATGTCATCTATGTGTCAATGGGGAGCAGTGCCACTGTGTTCCTTCGGGTTGGATAGAGCATGGCATGACCCAGGTGAATACCAAGCAAATACATCTTGGTCTCTTCAGACTCCACATGCCACATTTATAACTTCATTGAACTCATCTCACAGACTCCACAGAAGCTCCTAGAAGAGACGGATGGATGGATGGAGGCTTGTCCAGTTTTGCTCATTACTGATTCCTCAGTTTGAATCCCAGATCTGCCACACACTAGCTGTGTCACCTTGCTGGCTAACCTCCTGGAGCCTCAGTTTCCTCATCTATAAAACAGGGCTGATCACACTGAAGACCATGCACATAAATAACATGGTCACAGGGCATGGCACGTAGTAGGTGCTCAACCACTGTCAGTTAGGAAGCATTAGTAATTGATGCTGGATAGTTATTTGTAAAAAGAAAGGAAGACCTATCTATAATAAGAACTCCCTCGGGATCTGCTATTCCTTCCTGACAGCTGGAGCTGCACAGAGCCGGGCAGAGGTGGGAGCAGTCAGGAAATACTGATGCAAACCTCCTGCCTTCCGGCTGGGGGCTCTTTCACTAGGACCCCAGAATATTGAGTCATTATGTCTTCAAAGATCCCTAGTCCACCACTCTCTGCTGCCCTGCCCTGTCCCCCAGGGACTATCTGCCGCTCCCATCTCCTCTCTCACCTTCCAGTCAGGAAGTCACCAAGACTTCGTTTGCCTGATGCGACAAAAAGGAACATGGCTTTATGGGAGGAAGGAGCCTGAACTTGGGGTGAGACAGACCTGGGTTCCAAACCTAGCCCTGTCATTTCCAATCTGAATCCAACATCTCTGAAAAGCAGCCAGGCAAACGGGAAGGGTCAGCCTAACAATCCTTCTCCTGAAGGGAGAGGAGGTGCCCAGGCAAAAACTGCAATAAATGCCGCCAGCACCTGAGTGCTCGCAAGGTGCCAGATGGGCAAGAACAACACAAGCTGCTACTCGCCTCACTGCGCTCTGCCAGGCAGGTGCTATAATTATCTCCAACTGAGGAGCCACAGACAGGAAGCACTTACGTAAGTCACAGGGAACCCGGGCAGGCTGGCTACTGAGTGCGTGCACTCCTGCACCACAGCACTACCGGCCGGAGGAAGAGGCACCAAGGGCAGGGCCTTCCCAAGGCTCAGCCCTGCTGGCCTCCTGCAAGCCAGGTCACCTCCTCCAGCTACATGGGCTGCTTCCTGTCCAGGAAACGCTGGCTCCTTCCCTCCTCAGGGTCCTGGCACATGTCCCTCCCCCCTTCCCCCAGGCCACTCTTCCCCCACTCCTTCGCATTGCTGGTACCTTCCACCCTTTAGGTCTCTGCTCAAATGTCACCTTTTCAGACTAAAGGATTCTCCCTCACCTCCTTCCAGGAACCACTTTCTATTCCTAAGCCACTTGGTATTCCCTCCTTCAATTTTTTTCTTGGTTTATATTAGCTAACATTTGTCCCCCTCTCTAGTGTTGGTAGTGTCGGGGGGGGAACCCAGGGTCTTGCACGTGGTAGGCAAGTGATCCACCAATGAGCTACTTCCCACACTAGACATTGTTTTAAGATTTTTTTTTTTTAAGATGGACACAACATCTTTACTTTATTTATTTATTTATTTTATACAGTGCTGAGGATCCAACCCAGTGCCTCACATGAGCGAGGCAAGCGCTGTACCACTGAGCTATAACCCCAGCCCCACAGTAGACTTTTAACCCCATTAAAGCAAGGACAATGTCTGAGTTGTTCCGAGCTGTGTACCAATGTCAAGAACAGGGTCTGGGGCTGGGGTTGTAGCTCAGTGGTAGAGCACTTGCCTGGCATGTGTGAAGCACAGGGTTCGATTCTCAGCACCATATACATATATAAAAATTCACTGACAACTAAAACAATATTAAAAAAACAACAACAACAACAACAAGGTCTGGTCCTTCCCAGTTCTACTTGCTTACTGCCGTGTGATCCTAGAGCAAAAGATTTCATTTTATCCCTGTTGCTTGCTTCCTAACTCGTAAAGTGGGGACAGTCTACCTCAAGGGTGATATTCTCTTCCTCATAAGTAAAAACAGTTGTACATAGAAGGGGCCCAAACAGTTATCAACCAATGAATGGATCAACATTGTGTAGCATATTTTTCTTATTTATTATTTTTGTCTTTCCTTTCCACTATATAGTGTATTAATGGAATATTATTCAATTAAAAAGAAAGATGAGGGCTGGGGATGTGGCGCAGTGGTACAGCACATGCTTAGCATGCTATAATATGATGAACTTCAAAATCATTACACTAAGTAAATGAAAGCAGACATGAAAGACCACATGTACATTTACACGAAATGCCAAAAAGGCAAATCCATAGAGATAGAAAGTAGATCAGTGGTTGCCAAGGGTAATCTGGGGATGGCATGTAGGAAGTGACTGCTAAATGGTTATGTGGTTTCTTTTGGGGATGATGAAAATAATCGCAGTTAGATCGTGGAGACTCTGTCAATATACTAAAAACCACTGGATGATACATTTTAAGTGGTCAGAGTCGTGCATTTTATGTTGTGTGACGTTTATCTCAAAAAAGGAAGGGAGTTCTCAGGAAGGGTCATCTGTCAGAAGAAAGTTCAAGCACAGGGTGACCGTCATCTGCAGCCCAGATCTGTGAGAATGCTCTTTTCTCAGGAAGACACAAAGCACGAGAGGAAACAAATGATATACAGAA